AGCACTCTGCTACTTCCTCTCTCACTTCTGCCAGCACATGAAACCACCCCGGAGTCCAGGAGGAAAGTCTATCCTGAAACCCTGCTGAGTTTTCAGATCGGTGAGTGACACCCCACCTGGGACGACTAGCCAGCTGATCAAGAGCTGCCCAGTCCACACGAGAACTGGGGAGAGTAAAACAAACAAACCTATGCTTTTCTCAACAACGTACTTCTTTTGCGGCTGCTTGTGACACAGCAATAAATACCTGAGACGTGTATATTTTGTTAATTTATACTCTGCTGATATAAATAAATGTGTCAGTGATATATCTCATGGATTTATCTCCTGGTTTTAAAAACACTATTATAAAAAACACTGCAATAAAAGAATACAAAAGGCATTTATGATTTTGAGGAAGTGACTTATTCTCCCAAATTCCATTTTCATACCTATACATTACTCAGGGAGTGAAAGTAATGATAAAATAAGAAAAAAAGTGAAAATACAGCCAGGTGTGTGGCTCATGGATATAATCCCAGCATTCTGGGAAGCTGAGGCAGGATCCCAAGCTCAGCCTGGGCAACTTAGCAAGCCACTGTCTCAAAATAAAAAATAAAAGTGAAAAAGGGCTCCATGTAAAGGTTCTATCCCTAGCACCACCAAAAAATGAAAATAAAAGAAGGGAAAACTAGGTGTCAAGGAATGTGACCTCTTAAGCTGTTTCCTACATGCTGCTTATAGACAGTCACCGGATGTTTTTCACTTACAGCAATGTAAGTGGCTTGCACACTTCTCTGCTGTAAATGCTCTGGTGTTTGGCAGCATCTGTATATACACAACCTGCACATGCACACATGCACTACATGCACAAAGGTACTGGGCAGCCCATGGATAAGGCCGAGGTCTCATGCCCAGATCGAGTAACGCTTCTCCCTTTCTACTCTGTTCTATAGTGACCTGCCTCAGCTGATACTGTGCTCAGCAGAAAAGCTTGAACAGACATGGCAGGCTGTCTGGAAATCAAAATGGGGCTGAAGGGAAAAACAATTGTTAAAAGCTAATTATATGATACATAAGAAAAATGTCTAAGCAGGACCAAGTTCAGGACAACAGACAACAAAAGCCAAAAATGAATGGTGGGCATGTAGGCAAAGCAGAGTGCTAGACAGAAAGATGGATAATCTACACTCACAGAGACCAGAATGAGGAGGGAAAGCTGGCACATAGAAGGGGCAGAAGTGGAGAATGACACTACACATGAGAAGAACACCTAGGAATGACATTATGCCTTGTAAGTAAAAAGTAACCAATTAGTGAATTGAGAACTTCCAACTCAAGAGAAGACCCACAGAGTGAGTGAGGCCTCACACAGAGACAGGCAACTAGGCATCTGAATGTTGAAGCAGTCTCGCTGGAGGCGGCAGTTCCACACAGGAGGGAAGGAAAAATGAAAAAGTTTATCCTTTCAAATGCGGGGTAGTGGGGTGTAGTAGCTATGTCTCTAAGCGCAGCACTGGGGAGGCTGAGGATCACGAGTTGGAGGCCAGGTTGGACACGGTGAGACCCTGTCTTAATGAAAAAAGAGAAGAAAAGACATGGCAAAGCCCCCAAAAGTCCTTTTTTAGTCTATGAAAACATAATCTGTCCAAAAGGGGGGCTGTTCTTATTAGCACAGGTAATTTATATAGCTGAAGTTTCAGGTACTTTACCTCATCCTAAAAGTAAAAGGCTTCTTCTCTGCTCCTGCAATCTCCAATAATTAGCTTTGCTCTCATATGGCTCTGAGCCCTCTGTGATGCTCTTTATAAATGCACAAGCAGATGTCAATCACAACAGGATTTTACATATAGTATTCTGTAATGTTCTTCTTTATGCCCAAAAATCCTCTTATAGATACTTGAGGGCTGGGAAATAGCTCAGCTGCACAAGTACCTGCCTGGCAAGCACAAGGTCCTGACTCTGATTCCCAGAACCACCACCACCACCACCAACAACAACAAAAGATATTTGATATGGCTCACACACAAGAGTGAAGTTACATGATTTTGTTTCTCTTAAAAAGTACTACTATAATTACATTGGGCTTTCTTCTTTTTCTTTCCAGTTTTACATGATTGATTGCGTTTTTACTTTCTTATCACACTATGACCTGTCTAAGACTTTCTTTAATAAGCTGAAACACACTTAATAAACCATGCTGAGTAAAGTTTAGCAATAAGCCTGAGCATATTGGGCTTTTAGCAACTCAACCACTGAGTATCCTTAATGTGCACAGAAAGGAGAAAATAGAACTACTGAATTCTAGAAACATGTTTCAGTTGGTGAGACAAGACTATGCACCTAACAATGAGATAATACTGCAAGGAAGTCTCTGATTAACAGACAGCACTGAAATGATGGGGAGTCCCAGGGGGTGGGTAAGTATGGCTGAGGCACAAAGACTTTGAGAATGAAGTGGAATTCATTGGAGTCCTACAGGAGGAGTGACATTCGAAAAGGTGGAAGGGCGTGACGGATGGTGAGCAGCGGAGTAAAGCAGCTGGAATGGAATGCTTGGCAATGCTGGAGTCCTGGACCACACACAAGGGGCCCAGGGGAGAGCACGAGGGCTTTAAAGTGAGACAAGGACAGCATTACCACCCACAGGTGGGAAGCGAAAAACAACACAAAAATACTCTTTATCATACAAATCATTTGGCTAAGAAAGGGCTACTGGTAGACTCATTTATCAGTAAGTGCAGGCTGACCTACTGCATCTAGGGGCTACAGGCTGAGTACTCCATTGTCTTGAGAACTGTACAGAATACGAGGGACAAAGAAAACCCAGTGACTTCACTGTATTATAAAAAATATTCGGATGAAGGGATATACAGAATTACAAAGGAGCAGAGAGGGATACGGATTCCTAAGTCATCCTTTGGGGCTGCAGACTGAAAATGCTTTGGAGAGAAGGAAGTGTAGTTGTGCAACAGGGCAATAGCTGCCGGGTGGAAGTGGGAGGGGGAAGTTGTTCAGGAAGCTGCTGCTGCGAATGCAAAGGCCCAGAGCGTGAGCGCACTCGGGACAGGGTCTGCACAGGGTGGGAACACGGTGTGCGCAGGGGGCCGAGGGTACGCACGGGTCACTGACCGCCTGTCCTGCAGGAAATGAATGCTCTTGAGAACTTAGCCTTCTTTGCAAGTTTACAGGGGATTCTGAACGACTTCCTCTTTGTATTCTCAATTTAAGCACTAGAGGTTCATCTAAGAGTATTCTTCAATTGAATGCCAAAGTCAAAATTAAACAATATAGAAACAAACAATTTAAAGTTTCTGTTAACTAGATTCTCAGAAGCTTGTGGATCAAATGAAAGGCATCTACTTCACCCTCCCCTCCAACATAACATTTCTCTTGCTCACTCCTGGCAGGTGGCTATCCAGATGGAGAAAGATCTGCCCAGTGCCAAGGAGCTCAGCTGGCCTCAGGAAGGAGCCTAATTCATTGCTGAACATCACTAGCTGTGAGACAGATTTGTCTTAAAGTGAGAGTCAAGGTGCCTTCCTGTACCTTTCACCCATTTTGGCTCCCTATTCTGCCTGCTACATGCAGATGGTTCCATGCTATGTTTATATATCAAGGACTTCTTAGCTAACTGGCTTAGCTTTGATTAATTAGGTTCACCCACTATGAAGGACCACGCTGTCCTCTCTGTGAAGACCTTGGAGAAACACTTGTTACGTTAGCAGAGCTCTGCTGTTTTCCTCCAGGGGTTAGCAGTACCTCATGTGTGTGCAGCATTTCGCCCTTTCCCAAGGATCTTCACATAAATTATCATGCTTTAATGTTATAAGAAGGCTGCTGGGTCACTTTAGCACACTGTCTTTACAAGAAAGCTTGGTATCTGTTTTATGATACAGTATAAATAACCCATGTGACAGAATGCTGTTTCTGATAGGACAAAGCCTAGGATGCCAAAATCTAACACATTTTCATAGACAAAAGAAAAAATTAATAGAACAAACTCTGATATCTACTGTTACAGACCCAAAACTTGTATTTACCTTAACAATGGGCCACATATATTCCCAGCTCCTTGAACTATATCTGTAACCATACCTCTCCATGCTGCAAACCCAGATGTCAAGGGTATAGCACTGGCAAGAAGGGGTTAGAAGGAAAGTTAAAGAAGACACAGTTTATACTCGATAGTATGCGTATAACACAAGTTGAAAACAATGCGATGACTTTCTCATGCTGAGGACAGAGTAGACATCCCAAAGAGTGGGGGGATGGCAAGCCTGGGTGGGGGAGCAGCCGTGCAATGCAGGTTCCAGAACAGCCCCCCACGCACGTACTAAGGGCAGCTTCATAGTGGTCCTTTGCAGCTGTTAAGGAGAGGAACCAGGGGCCCTCATGTCTGGAAAAGCCTAGTTGTACAGGGCTATGTGGCTGCCTTGCTAGAATTAAAATGACAGCAGCTTTCCACCCCATCAAGCCAAAGAGAGACGTGTTTGTTGTTCCAGAACCCATTCGGAGAATTCAGATGCCTCTTTGCCTCAGTGAGAAATGAGTCTGGGCAGATGTGATTCAGAATGACAAGGGTCTTGGGGTGGGGATGGGGCAGCTCTATGAAGCACACAGTGTCTCATGGCATTGGATACACTGCTTAAGCACCTACAGCATTCACTGCAGAGGATCAAGTGGCATCCCTACTACAGACAGACACCTCACTGCCTGTCTCCCTGGCTACAGAGAGTGGCAGATTGGCCTGTCTAGTTCCCAGCCCTCAAAACTGCATGAGCGCCCTCCAGGAAGAAATCTGTATGAATTAGTGACTTAACCTGATGGCACCTGGCTTTGATCTGAGGAAAGACATATGTAAGTACCAACATAACAGTAACAGCTCAGTGATTTCTCCAGAGAAACAGGAAAATATTAGGTTTCCCAAGGGAAAACAAGCTGTATACTTGGAACTGTACCTCAGAGGATGCTAAACATAAGACAGACAAGAGAACTCAATGAACGGGTGACAAACTGACCTTGCAGGCAGGGTACAGCAGCCATCCGCTGTGAGTCGCACTTGAGTTTCGTAGCTGTCCAGGGGGCACACAGTCTGCTGGACCGAGGGGCACTCCACAGTGCTGCAGTCCACACTGAAGACTGGAAGGGGCAAACAGAGGGCACCATTTACTGTGGCATTTCCTGGCATTTTGAGATCCAAAATGAAAAACTGCTGGCTCTGAGCAAATTTCCAGTTTGCTTGCTTCCCAGAAACCCAGTCTTTGGGCTGCCATTTTTGTTTTAGTCGATGGAATAGAACCGCAATATGCCCCCAAGTTTCTGCTTAAGGGGTAGGGCAAAGACAGTTGGTAGTTAAAATGAAGGCAGAGAGAGCAACAGTGGTTACACCGAAGATAACAGTCGGCCAGAGGCATTTGATATTGCAGCACAATTCAAGAGATGGACATGGGATTGTGGTGCTTGAAGCATTTGCCTAGCAGTAAGAAATGAAGCCAGAAAAAATTAAAATTAAAAAAAGAACTGACGAGTCACTAAAAAGTAGCAAGGAAGAAATTACCACAACCCAGATGTGCCCACACACTACTTCAGACATGCTGGTATAGAAGCGTGGATATTAGAAATAACATAAAGCAAGAAATGACCGAGACACAAATGTTGGCAAGAAAGGTGTGTACGCAGTGCAAGGTGACTTACCATGTGGCATAAAGAAGGGGGTGGGGGGTTTGCAAGAAGACTGGGGCTGTTTCCTTACAAAACATCTGGCACTTTGATGCACACACTTATTTAAAAATAATTTTGTTTCATATATCATGATTGTTTTTAAATGCAATATTTTAAAGTGATAGATCTACAAATGAAGGCTCTGACCTCTGGGGGAACAAAGCAGGTAGCCACAGTACCATAAATTTATCTCCCTGTCCCAATCAAGCACATTTTGGAGGAAAAATAAGAAGAGAAAAAGAACCCCCCCTCCCGCAAGGTGCTCACATCCCACTGAGTCACCCCTCTGCTTCGCTGATGGGGAGGCCAGAATGCATGGCTGGCGTGTGGCGCAGCAGCGCAGCGCCCTCAGGAGAAAGCCTGTCCTCTCAGGGAGCTGAGGGGGACCTGGATCCCCCTGCTGCAAGGGGGTGGGGCTGCGGAGGCAGTGCCCGCGCGTACCTGGTTTGCACTCATAGAGGTCACAGCACTCTCCCGGCTTCCCTGAGGCTTTGGACACTAGTATGTTCAGGTATCCCGGCTGGCAGACTTTGCGAAGACAGCCCGCAGGGTCACACACGCAGCGGCTGGGTAAGGGGCAGCACTCCCCGGGAGGAGCATAACCCTCGATCAGAACAGAATCTTCAGGACAACGTGGAGAGAACTGCACTTCACAGCGGGCCTTGGAGCAATCTGGCTTCTCTTCTAAACGGGAGAGAAAGAATTTAGCTCATGCCCAGGGCAGAGTGGGGTACTCGCCTCAGAAGTACAGATGGTCCTGAGGATCTAGTTACTAACCACAGAGCAGGGTAAAGAAAGAAATCTGGTGACAACCCATAGACTTAGTTTGGCCAATCATGAAGCTCTCTGCTAAAATATGAGCCTCAGGTTCACCTCTTGCCCATCTTTCTACTGGCTTGTGTTGAAAACTCACTGCCTAGTGCAATGCCTAACATGAAGAAAGGCACAGGGCAGATGTGCCCTCGGCACGAGCAAAATGAAAACTTGTCTCAGTCCTGAACTGATTTTCTTTCTTTCTTTTTTTTTTTTTTGCGGAACCGGGGATTGAACTCAGGCCCTTGCGCTTGCCAGGGAAGCGCTTATTCCACTGGGCCACCTCCCCAGCACCCTGAACTGATTGATTTATCTTTGAATTCAAAATTTGTAAGAACAGCTCTTTGAAAACAGTATTCAAATCCCAAACAGAGGCACACAAATAAATCTAGGGTGCTGTGGGGACTGGCAACAATGCGGATGATAACACAGAATTCTCCTTCCAAACTCTGAGCTTCTAGCAGACAGACACAGCAAAATCACACAGCTTTATGGTGTGGCACCTTAACAGGACCGAGATGAGTGTGGGTGCCGGGAGACTCCCCTAAACGGCCTCTGGTGTGTTTCTCTCTAGCACAGATGGTTTGGATGTACCTAACTCTCCTCTGTCCTGTATTACCTGCTGACCTGTTGAGGTACCTCAACTTTAGAGACAGAAAAAGATGGGTTTTAGCCAATAATTTTAGGACTGGGTAGCAGAACCCTTTCTTCTCCAGCCCCAGCCCACAGCTCTCTGTGTTAGTTGAAGCTTTTAAAAAACCTACACCAAAATAAGGTCCTCAGGAAAAGACTGAAACCAAAAACACATCATTGCACGCGTGTCTATTGGTTGGGGGAGTTCTGATGACAAGGGAAAGGATGCTGCTGGATAGCCTTCTCTAAGCATTAACTCTTTCCTAAGGTATAACCCAGTGACAGGATCAGAGGATAGATCAGACCCAGTAAGTCACCTAGTTCAGTCTCCTCACTTTGGAGATAAAGAACTTGCTACAAAAGGTCTCAGCAGTGATAAAATGACTGTGAACCTGAGCCCCTCAGCGCCAGTTACTCCGCTGATTATCACAGGAGCAATGGTATTTTCTGAACCAAGCCTGCTCCTTTCCTCTGTTTGTTAACTTGATCGCTGTGCCTTTCATTTCACTGGGACTTGCTCAATTACTTCTTGGCCGATTAAAGCACAGGATAGGATGGTGACCACGAACTGTTTAGTCCTTAATGATAACCAGGAGCCAGCTGTGGCAAACATGCCACAAGTTTGTTCCTGTGCCACTGGTATGGAAGACCATCCATACTCACAGTTCCCAGTAATTAAAAATAGGCATTGAGTACTGGCTTCTCCAGCAGCTTGGGATAGATCAGTACAGACAAAAGCCCAGATGTCTGTCCTTAAACAGTTCATAAGGCAGTGGGGGGCAACAGAAAAGAAACTATACATATTAGAAACAAATTATTTAGTAGTAAAGAGTAAGAGGGGGCTCAGAACAGAGTAAGGGGAATTAGAGGGCTTGGAAGAGAGGTGTTCACAGTGTGGTCAGTATGGGGACAGACCACAATGTGGTCAGCATGGGAATAGAAAAAGAAGCAGAAGGGACTTGATGGAGTGAGGAGCAAGTGGAGAAGCCAGAAGAGTGCTGGGCAAAGGGGAAGCTAACCTCACCTGGAGCCAGGGTGGGGCAGGAAGGCAGAGGGGTTGGAAAGGCGTGAGCAAGAGAAGATCGGATGGGCAGCTGGCTCCACCTGGCTCTAGATCACCCAGAGCCCCCTTCGAGCTCTGTACGGGAAGAGGAAATAACTCAGAAAAATGAGGTCTCCTGACAGTGGGGAGCAAAGAGATGTGGAAGGAGTCTAGAAAGGCATTTGGAGGGAAAGATGAGGAGAGGCCAGACACAAGCATCTTCGCCACTGCTGGGTAGTGGGTATGCTGAAGTGAGGTGAGATGAGGTGGTCAGATTTTTCATATTCAAGACACCTGCCCTCTCATTTTTCTCTGGGATAGCATGCCACTTCAATGCTCAGGGCAGCATTCTTTCTGCCCTCCATCTTGGTCACTGTCAACATGCCAATGCCCAAAACGCAACTTCAAGTGCAGTAGAAAGTAACACAGCACATATCCTAAGAACAGACTTTGTTAACACACACCACGTGCTAACGTGACAAATATCTCATAAAGTGGGTTACTGCCTCCTGCACTTCCAGATTATGCAGCTGGGCTTCAGCGGGTCAAGTTCATCTGCCCAAATCACACAGCCAGCAAATGGAGAGGGGACGACCTGAGTCCCAGCCGACCCAGGCTCCCTTCACGCTTCCCTGTAGGAGCACAACCACCCCAGGGATGACGTTGGCGGCGCTCAGCCTCGGCCTTTGCTTCTCTCCAGTTCTTTCTGCATCAGAGCTTTGGTTTCTGTTCAAGCCGTGCAGCTTTCACCAGCCTTATCTTGTGGCATGACCCATGGCACCCATCGCCACTCCACTTCCACAGTATGGCCCTAAGCAGCTGCTCTGAACGGAGTGCATGATGAAGCAGTGAGGGATGACCCCCATCAGTGTGGGGCAAGCAAGTCAAGGACCTGAGAAGGTGACCCCTACTATGAGGACTGATTGGGTTAGACTTCATACATTACATTCAGTAGATCGCTTTCCTGGCAAACACAAACACACTGTTTTATAATTAGGAAAAGCACTATGACTTTAATTACAAATAACACTTAATTCCTACTCTTGTTAATTTGCTGTAATTAACTTTTCTGTATTACATTATACCCCATTTTTACTCCAAAACTGTTTGATAGGCATAATGACACTTTTCAAACATATGCTTCAATTAAGCATGTTTCCATTAGAACCCGAAGTAGTAGCTCCCGCTAGCTAGCCCGCTCTTCCCGTTCTTTGCAACACTCCCACCGCCACCTCTTGACGTGCGCATTGTCCTTGCAGCCTAGAGTTTTACTCACTTGAGGACTACTCTGCACCCACCTGACAGCGTAGGCCACCTCAGCCAGTCAGGGAGTTGGAGCTTGGAGATATCCACAAATGCTAAAAATGAAGGGTCTATCTTATTAAACGCCTTTTCAACTTTTCTCAAGAAGATCATGCCAGCTTTCTCTTTTATTTATTCTTTTAATCAATTACTAGATTTTAAATGTTTCCTATCCTTGTGTTCTTAGAATAAACCCAGTTTTTAGAGATTCACCTGGCTTTGAATTGCTAACTTTTCTTTTTTCTTTTCAGCTAACACTTTAAGATGTTTTAAATGTCATGAACTTGAATATTAGCCATTACTTTGCTCTGCTGTGTGCACGTGTATGTGTGCATGCGTGCGTGTGCGTGCTCATGCTGGCCTTACCCTACTTCCATTCAGACTTGCATGAACTCTTTCAGTAAGCTGTTTAGTACTATACCTCTTTCAATGCTGTAAAAATAGTACATGGGATTCTCTAATATTTTCATATAAAGCACCTCTGAAACTATCTGATCTCAGACTATTCGTAAAAGAGGAAGGGTCAGAGTCCTTCCTTGCTTCTTACTCGGGAGGCTGAGCTCTTTTAGAAATACTAGCGTATTTTAACGAAAAGAATATAATTCATCTAAAATTTCAAATTCAATTCAGTCTTTACTGACCAAGCTTTCTTTTGTACTTCGTGTATTCATCAGTTTAAGTTCCCGAATCTCTTGTCTTTCAGATTATTCTGTTAGTTTTCTTGTAGTGTTTAAACTTTAGTTCATTTTTATTTCATTTGTTTTCTTAAATTAAATAACAGCTTTTTAATAGTTCAGTCAAAGTTACTTTGGTCATGATCTAAATCTAGATATATATTGCTTTTGATGTGATTTATTTCTAAATAATCTATAACTCCACCTTGACTTTTCTGAAGTATTTCTTAGATGACTGCTATTAAATTTCTGCACAGTTAGAGGGAAAGGGCTTCCCATTCGATTTTAATAGTTTTAGTGACCTGTTGCCAGTGAACATACGGTGCACAATTTTCTACATTTGACAATTTCTTGAGCTTTTTATGTTTTGGGAATTTTGGCATCATTTTAAAATAATGGGTATTTTAAAAAGAACATGTATTCTCTATTTGTTGGATACAAACTTGCACAGCTATTACGTAAAGCTCCTCTACACCTTACATTATTTTATCCGTTGTCCAATAGGGAAGAGCTCCCTATGAGCTAGCTTCTCCTTGTGTATTTCTTGTCTTTTTAAAATCTTTTTATGTACTTATCTATGTGGTAGGGACACACCATGCAACTTGGACTCGTCGTGATCCTCCTGTCTCAGCCTCCCCAGTGCTGGGATTACAGGAATGGGCCACCACCTGGTTTCGGTGGCTGACACAGCAGCACAGCATGCAGTACCGTGAATCAAACCCAAGTCCTTGCGCTTGCCAGGCAGGCGCTTAGACCACTGAGCTATCTGTCCACTCCCCTCCTTGTGTATTTCCATCCTTTCTTTCCTTTTTCAAAGCTCTGTTGCTGACTTCATGAGTAGTAGGAACACACTTTGAGCTTTCAAAATGATTGAAGAGTTGTAGAATTATGTTTTTAAAGAATTTAGATCTCTAAATCTATAGCCTTCTTATCTTGTAACTATTAACAGTACTTGCTCTGTTCTTCCTTTCTTTCCACCCTCTCTTCATCTGTCTAAGGATTACCCAGAACCTCTGCTCACTGCAGCAGTCACCTGCACGTCACCTGAATGCAACATGAGTAGAACAGCATCAAGAATTGTATTTTTGATAACTCTTTTTTCAGTCAGTTTCTAATATATAAACTTTCCCCTAAAATTGTATGTGTTCACCTAGGTGTCTACTTACCTTGTTCCATGAAGAAAATAAGGGGGAAACTACAGCCACACATTGAACTTTATT